GAGGAAGAAACTCAGAGGGAGCAGGTGAAAGAGGCCCCACAAACAGATGAAGCAAAGACGGAGGAGAGTCAAGCCAAAGCAGAGGAGCAGCAGGAGGAGGAGGTGGTGCAGCTACATCTGGAGGAAACCAGTGTCTCCTTGGCTGCAGCTTTGGAGGTTGTGGAGCAACAAATCACAGATGAGAACACACAAACCGAGTGAGTATTTATATTCCCCACTCTGAACCAGTAATATCTGAACACAGTCCCTATGGTAATGTTACGGCATCGAAAACCTTTTTTTGATTTTTTAAATTCCACCCCTTAAATGATTTTTTACTCATTTACCGTTTCCAGAACATTAACCCAGAATCTACTTTCTTCTCAGCTGGAGAAACCGCTGTAACATTCTGATAGACTTTAATTCTTCATTTCTGGGTCAGTGGTGCAGATTCTGTCCTCATTTGCAGCAGTGGACTGGTCTAAATTTACCTCAGCTCTGATTTGTTCCTCTTCCTTCCACATTAACCATCATAGCAGCGTGCAGTGTCTGATGTTCACATTGGTATTCAGAGCAGGACCAGGAGTTACGGCTCCACATAAAGATAAAGTTGTAACCATTAAAGTTTCAGATTGATTTGTTTCAACCTTTCGTTTCTGTGCCATCAGAGAACAGCCGCGGCGGCGGCCGTTCATTATTTTGGCCGTGTCCCAATAAAAGTCAGCCTGTGTTTTGTCTGTAATATTTTTTATTTGAAGCAGCTGAAGAAAAGGTTTCTGTTTGCATAAGCAATAACGTAGAGCTGAGGCGTATAGAAGATAAATCTAGAAGCACATTGGTTTGAACCAGGGCTTAAACCAACCTCCTGACCTGGGGTTGTTTCCGACCCTGTCCTTGAGGTAATATTTTATTTATGTTATTTCTATAAAATACATGTGCACTAAGTTGGTCTGTTCCGTGGCTACATCCTGAGAGAAGTATTTAAAGTGAGCTTTAACCTATTTGTCTGTTGTGGATCAGTGTCGCCGCAGTTACTGCAGCAGGCATCTGTGTTCAGCAAGGCATTGAAGAGAAGAAGCTGCTGTGCTGAGCAGCTGCTCAGTGTCTGGACTCGCAGCTCAGTCAGTCAACTGCTGCTCAACACAGCGCGTCACTGCTTCAAATGTGTGGTGGTTAATGGTCCTTTGAAGTGAAGTGAAGAACTTCAAAAACTAAACTCAGGAAACTCATGCAATTATTAGGAATACAGATGAACAATATTTAAATAGTTCCAGAGAAGAACTGGATTATTTTATTCATAATATTGGAAAAATATAATTTTCCAGAAAATTAATCCTGGTTGTTTAATGACCCATTGGACATCCCAGACCATAACAGATCTACTGGTTATCATTACTTTAAGGTTCCAAACATCACAGAAAAATAAACATTTTACACCACGTAAACACATTTTACAAGACCTTCACCTTCAGATCTTCAGTCCTGTCGGAAGTATATTCACTTACATTCTATGGTCATTTTTTGTACAACATTTTGAATTAGGAAATTTGAATTAATTATAAAACTCCAATTATATTAAAATTATTTGAACCAATTGCTCAGTATATTTTTGACACACTAATAATTTTTTTAACAATATTTTTGAATTCTTCAAATCTCAGATTGAATAAAATGAAAAATAATCTGTGAAAGTCTGTGCCTCGTTATCAGCTAAACTCTTCCTTCTCCTTGTCGTCCGTCTCCCTGCTCTCCTCCCAGCAATAAGACAACCGTCTCCATCTTGGACGACATCGGCAGCATGTTTGACGACTTGGCAGACCAACTGGACGCAATGCTGGACTGATCTGCTGCCAGTGTGTTGTTTCCAGCTGGCTCTGCGTCCGTTTCCCTCGTCATGTGTAGGTGTATGAAGACGGCCCAGTTCTCCTGAGGCTCGATGCTGGGGCTTCGTGAGTGTGTGTTTGATTGAGAGCAGTTGGTGCTCCTCCTGTGTCTCTGTACAGTCCACTGAGAAGAGCCTTCTTCAGGAGGTGCAGTAGCGGTCAGTATGCCTTTCAAAGCAAAGAGGCTGCTATAGCACTCTAAGAGAGTCACCACCACCACCACCACCACCACCACCACCACCACCACCTGACCTCAGATGTCAGTGTGGACTGAGAAGCACAATCATCTTCCTCCACCTTACTGTTACTCTCCACAGACTGTGTCGAGGAGAAAGACGCTGCTGCAGTCAGACAGTCAGACAGATCAACAAGGATAAGCACATTAACTGACTGACAGGTAGAACTAGGTACACCAGATGCAAACAGCCGAGACGCTGAAGGGGATTTTTTTAAAAGCACACGCGAAAGTGGGGGGGGGCGCTTTTCTAGCCGGTCCCGCTCCTTTGATGTCACCAGGATGCAATTTTTCAGAAGAATTGTAGCCTCCGTTCCTCTTCTGTTCTCGTGAAGAATTGTGGGTACCTACACTTCCTGAGTTGTGTGTCGTCTCTCTCGTTCCCGTTGTAATTGTTGTTGCTGTTGTTAATGTTGTGTGTGTGACTCCTGCTGATACTCATGTCTATGTCCTTCAAATCACTACAATAGTTAAAACCACAGTGTCCACGCTGAGACACTCACTAAGATACAACGAATACACAGAAAATGAATCATTTTGCTCAGTATTAAGCTTCATCTACAAGAGTTTAAAGGTGCACTGTGTAAGATTTAGGTAATCATTCCAAGTGTTTTATTTATATTGTCAAACTGGCATATAAAGAGTGAAACGGTGTTCATCAGTATTAAAGATTAATTAACATTAAAATATATTTTTTATGGTTATTTTAGCTTATTTTACCAATTTAGAAGCTTAGTTTAAAAAAAAAAACACGTCCTTGTTAGATTTGCAGATAAATTAGCAAAACATTTGACTCAGTGGCTCCCCCTGCATCAGACATGTTCGTGAATTTCGGTTACGTAGTTTTTTCACCAGTCACTGTCCTGTTAGAAACGCAGTATTTGTTGTCATATTTCGCTTTAGTTTGTGAACACAGGCATGTAAGAGCATGAAAAATAAGGATATACAGAATTGTGTTAATGTTTTAATTTAATATTGATTTTATCTGTCCAGACAGGGGCGGCCAAAAGACCAGATGTGGCCTGGGGGCCTGTACATGCCTGGGTGTGAAAAGGTTAATTCTTCCACATGTTTTTACTGTACATTTCCCTAAATAGAATTCATTTTTTACCCAAGCCTGAGTCTTCTCTACAGAGGCTGCCAAGTTGAATAACCACAATCTTCAGTTTGTCCACATTAGACAAATATTTCATTCATTGACTTTTTAAAGACTCTAATATGATGTCTGACGTTCTTGAGAAGCATCTTGCTCAATTCTATCCAGTGTACCTTTAAATGACAATGAACTTACATTCAAAATCACATATAAAAGCACACTGATATGATGTATACCCTCGCCCAGCTTCTGCAAGTATTTTTTTTAACCTATACTTTAATGTTTTCTATTATACTTCCTGATGACAGTTAAAACATGCCTGGTATTTAAGCCTGTAGAGCTCCCTCTAGTGTTTGTTAGTGAAATTGCCTTTTAATCTGCAAATCTCTTGTCTTCCACCTTTACCTGAATATATTTATTTATTTTTATTTGTTAATCCTGGTATGTCTGCATCTCTTTGTGCCTTGGTAGTATTTTTTTCTGTGTTAAAATCATGTCTTTATTTTTTTTATGTTGTTTTCCATCATTGATCTCAAAAGTAAAGGCTTTCCTCCGTTTTCCTTACAATTCCTCAATGTCTATAATGTCTATCGTAGCTTGTTGTGACTTCTTTGCAATATGATCAATGAAATAAATGGCCCTGTCTTAGTCCGTTTGTTCCAGCTGAGAAGCCTTGTTGGAGCCTGTGTGAGCCCATCTCTGAGCTGTAATAACAGTCGGCTCTGCTCCTCCTCAGCTCCTTCGTTTCCAGTGGTTGTCCCTGTAGTCCGGACAGTACGCCCATTACCAGTGTTTATCCCATTGAAGAGTCTACTTGTATTTTTTTGCTCTTGAAAAACAAAGATATATTTGAGAGACATATGTTCTATGTGAATAATGAGAAAATATTAATAATAATATTGATGGCAACTCTAGACAACAATTTGAGGTCAGCTGATTGTGTGTGTAAATTTATGGTTGAATTTTGGCTGTTTTGTGACGGCTCTTGTACCATGGTTGAGTGAAGGTTGTGTTCCTGTACAGCTGTGACCAGAATAAATGTGTACAATAAACATTATAAAATGTCTGGCTATTATTTCATCAATTAAAGAGAAAGAACGTAGAGTGCTGACTTTTTCCATGAAACAACAACAAAGCCTATGTACTGTATATTATTTATGTAAACAACAACAAAGCCTATGTACTGTATATTATTTATGTATATTCACTACCTATATAAATCAAGCATATACATTTAAAGTGTTTTAATACAGGAAAAAAATCCCACTGTCTTCAATATAAGATGTATCAAAATAATTTATTTATTCAATTGTGTTCTTTTATAAATATTTCTGTGGATGATTTTTTGCTAACGGTAAAAATTAAATGAGTTAAAAAGTAAAGAGAAACAAAGAAAATAAAACTAACTAAGAAAAGGTGAATTATTTAAGTTATTAAAGAGATTTAAATAAGACAGATTTCAACCATTGCAAGGAAGAGTTGTTCAGAGGAGGAGGAGCAATAGTCACCAATCAGAAGTTTTAGTTTTAGTAAATGGGCGGGACTTCCTGTTGAAGAACCTCATGTTGTCGGGTAGTTAATTCTCTCCCTCGCTGCTCTCTGAATAGTAAAGACGTTGGTCATGTTGTCTCGTGTTTTTCTCCCTCGTGTAGTTTCATCGTCACAACAGGCTGAACAAACGAACGCCGTGGCGTTTTGTCATTATTTGCAAGAGCAGGAAATGGTGAGTAGTAAGTAAGGTTTGTTTTAACATGTGGACGAGTTGCTACTGCTGCGTTGGCCTGAAGAGCCACACGTTGGCGAAGTAACACAACTTGAATGAATTGTACCGGGCTGTTGTAATCCTGTGGTTTATAAGAGATTATGTTAAACTAAGCATCGTCTGAATAATATTACAGATGAGAGCGGAGACACAGCTGGACAGCAAGGCGCTGTTTAGCGGACTAAAGACCTGGAACAGGCCAAACTTCCGGTCGTAGACTCCCAACTCCAAGACGCCATGATGGCGCTGATGCCATGTGGAAGTGAAGCTTGTTGACCACAGAAGCTGGTGAGTCTGTATCTTGGTCACTTGAAAGAATTTGAGCCAGTGATGACAAACTTAAATATTTCTGACACCTACTATGAGCGCTGACCTTCAGCCACTGATTCTCTCTTTGTCCTGAGGCCTTGATGTCACATTCATTTGTTTACTGTAATAAATGGAAGCTTGACTCAAATTGATCATTTAAAATAATTTCACAGGTTAAAATGCGCCAATTTCAAAGTAGTCGCAGGACGGGCTCTCTCCAGCATATGAAGTGGTGAGTACGTCTTCTGAATATATTTTGGTCAGCTCTGGCTAGATGTTTGTGTGATATTCAGGATGTTTCTCATGTTGAATTTTCGTTGACATTTCAGATGGACCGAGTTGATAAATCCAGTGATGATCGTGTATAGTGTTGCGTGACCAAGAATGGTGAGTGGCCATAAAAAAAAAGGACATTATCAAAATCTTCAAAGCCTGTGATGACAATAAAACTTTCTGACACCTTCTATGAGAGCTGAACTCCAGCTCCTGATTCTATATTTTTTTCTGAGGCCACTGTTGTAAATGTAAGATTTGATACTACAGCTATGTGAAATTGAAGTACACTGTGTTTGCTCTTACAGAGGCTATTGAAAGTGGTTGTTGCAGTGACGTCACATCTGGTCAGTTTGTGGTAAGTTCGAGTTTTGTTGTTTTGTTATACAGCTGTGATGTTGCCGTTGATGAAACTTTTCTTCTGACACCTCATATGAGAGCGATAAGCTCCTGATTCTAGCTTTTTAATAATCTGAGGCCATCTGCATGTAATACAATGTGCAATATCACCAATGCTATCTAGTCTAATTAACTTTTTTTCTTACAGATTTTTTTTTCTTCCACGTTACAAAGACAATCAACCTCCAGAATGGGCCTGACCTCCAGCTGTTCGTCAAGACTTGATGAATGTGGTGCAATTTATAAACTGACTATGGCCTTAAATATAATAAGTTTCCCAATCATTTTGTAATGTTACTCTAAAAATGTCTGTGCTGTTTAATGGTTTAATCCACTTTGTGATATGAATAGGCTATTTTGTTGAGCCACATTTGTGGTTTTCACTTATTGAAATGACTGAATGCTGTTTTACAATGTACTGCTGTACTACCAATTGTGTTTATCAGCAGGTGAATAAACATTTGCTCGGTATTTGTTTTATTTTATTTTTTTTAAAACCTAACTATAAAAAATGTGCACTATTATAAACACCTTGAAAAATGACTGTTTGCTGCATGTATTGACAAGAAATTTAGTTGTGCTTCTAAAACTCTTTAGCTGTGTCTGCTATGAATTGAAAGCTAGTCAAGAATACTGGAAGTGCATATGCTGAAAATGTGACAGCAGATATGGGGACACCCAGTAGTGAAATTTTACTGTAGGTCTAGTATTCAGTTATTTGAGCTAAATGTTTTATACACCAACACATTGCTTATTTATGTGTGTGCGTTATGGGAGAAGTTTGATTAACAAATTATACTCAAGTATTTGACTGTTCAACCTAAGGTTTTAAAATGTCAGCAGTGGAATTGATTTAGCTTTTTATAAGAAATAGTGTTGGTTAGAACATTTTACGTAGGTAACTAAACGTAACAATTTTTTAACCAATCATATTTCAACTATTATGTGTTGCTAGGGCCAAAGAAATCTGCCTTCAGAATCAGGGCTGGCGTCAGTAATCTTAAATAAATGGCAATGACATTTTTAGCCAATCACAGTTGGCGATACCAAGGCCGTCTCGTACGATTACGTTGGCCACTGAGTGATTTGATTGGATGGTCAAATGGCGTCCAGCGACTTACACGCGCGAAAATGTTTGGAGGTGTATATTGCTGTTCACTGCTCCTGTCGAGCGAATGTTGTCAGCGAATTTAAACTAATACACATACGTCTGGACTTTTAGCATTAGCAGGGCGGCGATGGAAAATGACTTGTACGGATAATCTGTTGAACAGTCTTGTTGTTGTCTTCTTGAGAAAAGGGACGGAAGATGGATTTTGGTGAGTGAAATAATACATATCTTTCCCAGTAGAGGCCTCAACTTCCGGTCAAACACGCCAGGCCAGCGTTTAGGTGTACAGCTATCTATTTAGCTGACATTATTTAAATATACGTGTATTCTCCTATAGCGCCCACAGATGGGCAGTTGTTGAAACACAGAAGTAAAAGAGTTAGCCTCATTTTGAATCGACTAATGGGCAAAACAAATGGTTTCCTAAAGCCAGTCGAGTATTGTTGGTGTTCTTTGGTTCTTTTGGTCAGATTAAAAAACGTTTTGTATTCTATATAGTTAAGGTATAAAGTGGATATGTTTTATTTGCGAGATTGTTGGCGCTCATGTGAAAGTTTTCTCACTGGGCACCAAACAGTGGACGCTCTTTCCGTTTGGACTCGACCTCAACCTCGGCCTCAGGTTCTTCCTCCACATTTGCGTGTTTCCTGCCTGTGCTATGAAGATTTCCATACAGGTGGCGTCCTGTGCTTGCGAATCTCATTTGCCTGTCAAAGCAGACGGAGGAGCTGCGTTTCTCCGCCCTGCGCCTCCTGCATCCAGTCGCTACGAGAGCGGAGCGCAGGGGAGTGTCCTGAGCATACACACACACACACACACACAACCAACCGCCGCCTCCTCCTCTTCTCCTTCCTCCCTCACGGTTGATTCCGAACTCATCTGCCGGTTAAACTCCTCGTTCCCCACACTCTCCGAACGGCTCTCCTCGCATCCTCAGCCAGAGTCCGCGTTCTCATCGGACGGCTACAGAGCGAACGATTCATCGCTCCTCAACGACTGCAGTCGGCCTGACGGTAAGATCTGCTGCTGGTGTGGCGGTGGTGGTGGTGTATTGAGGATGATGATGATGGTGATGATGATGGTGGTGTGTTTGTGTTTGTGTTTGTGTTTCCATCCACATTTAATCACGACACCAGATTTTCTCGTGTTTACGTCGGCGTCCTGCTTCATGATGCTGTTCATGTCAGAGACGGAAAAGCTTCATGGAGCAGGACAGAAAACAGAAGGCAGCAGTCTGTCTGACGGACTGAGTGACGGTAAACTGAGAATGTGTTCAGTGATACAGACGATCCGTATTTCTTTTTTCTAAAAAAAAAAAATATATATATAAAAAATTAAAACGACGTCCAATGATTTAGTTATATATATATATATAAAAAAATTAAAAAACGACGTCCAAGGATTTAGTTTTAGAGAACAGCTGGATGATGGAGATGCAGCGGGATGGGGAGGAAAACGGCCGACCTACTTAGATCCATTAAGAGATGAGGAAGAGGAGGAGGTGGAGGAAGAGCAGGAGGGTAGAAGGAGGAGGAGGAGGCCGAGACAGTTTCCAGTAGGGAGGACTAAACTGGTCCAGGGTTGGCCTGAACTCTGTGGCAGGGTGGGGCTGCACACTTTACCATAACTACATGTAAGAGCCAGTAAGGGCAGCAACTTTACACAGTTATTCCCCCTGAACTGATGGAATAAAGTATTAATACCTACCAATTACTGCACATCACTTATTCCATATGTTAAAATAGGACACTTTAACCACACTGTGGTAACCTGGAGACTGGAGAAGATTTATTTATGAGCAGATTAAGTTTATCTGACTGCTTCATGTATGATATAAATCATATATAATAATATATATATGATATAAATCATTAACACCAAACAAGGAAAAGCACAAATGTTATCATGCTGGGATTTTTTGTCACTTTTTGTCTTTACAACCTTAAACTAATATCACTGATGTGTGTGATGTCATGTTCACTGTCATTAAAGGTATAGTGTTTGTAATTTCCTTAGAGTGAACCATTGAACTGCATTAAAGTAATCTACACATAATTGAAATTGATCAAAGGAAAGTGAATGTTGCTGTAGATATGATTCCAAGGTTTCATTGCTGCTACTGAAGCCCAAAGTAATAATAATAAAAACATTATTTAAGATAAGTGGTAATAAACGTTTTAAATCAGAACTGTTTTATTGTCTTTATGTTATGTAGCTGTTGGTCCCAAACCAGGTTAGATGGACATGGCATTCACTACAGACTACTGAATGTTGTCTAGTTGATGGTTTGTTCTGTTCAGTCCACAGCTGTCTCATTAAAAAGTTACACTTTTGTCAGTGTTTACCAACAAAAACAAAAATCTAACCGTGTGATTTATTTCCAACACAGTTGTGTCATCATGGATGATTTGGACGTCCCACAGATGAGGAGAGAAGTGGAAAGTCTCCAGTATCAGCTGGCCATCAACAGAGAGAAGTCCTCCATTACTGTTACATAATAAGTGTACATCACACACACACATCACACACACACACACACATGCACAGGCACTCAGCTCTCTAAGTGCAGAGGCTCAGATTCATGCTGATGGTGCATTTCTGTTTCACAGACTGGTGAAGTGGATCGAGGGCTGTGTTTGTGAAGATCCCTTCCTCAACCCAGAGCTGATGAGAGCAAACCCCTGGGTAGAAAAGGGCAAATGTGTGATCCTCTAATGATGTCACACACAGACACACGCACAGACACAGACACACACAATCAAACCACAGTTTCATAAAAACTAAAGCATCACACACACTCCTGTACACACTCACAGTCACTCTGCACTAAGTCGCACTCACATTATTAGTAATGTTGTTTATTTATTATTTAGACTGTTGAATGCTGTTATTTTATGTTGAGAGTACGGTGTGTGTGCGAGTGTGTGACCGGGAAAAAAAACTCCAGAGAGGAGGAAATGTTAAACAACACCACGTTTTTATTGGCTCCTTACACCGTCAATCAAAAATAAAGACTGTTTTGAATTTCAAATGAATTGTAGGCTTTTCACACATGGACGTAGAACACAGGAAAAAAGAGAACAGTAGAGAACAGGAACATGTGATCCACAAGTGTTAGAGAAGCTCTCTGATGTAGACGTTTCGTCTGACGGCGTTGGACATGCCCTCGTTGAAGCGGAACCACACGTCACTATTGCCCACTGCTCGTCCCATGGCCAGAACTGAGGACTTCTCACCTGGAGCAAAAAAAAGAAAGAAAAAAAAGAAGTGCTGTTACATTGAGTTAATAAAGCAAATTGCTGCATTTTAACAGGTGTGTGTGTGAGAAATGATTTTCCTCAAAGGTGATAACAGAATATTTTCAGCTGTTCTTTTGGGTAATTTAGTCACAAAACGGGGAGAAGGAACGTAAAGTTAGTCTAAAAATCACTAAATAAAATAGTGGTAAAATAGCTAAATGTTAGCCAAGACAACATGGGTTAAAAAAAAAAGAAAGGTAAAAGGCCATGACATGCATCGATCCTCCACACTAAAGTTCGAAAGCTTCCACAGTAAAAAAAAAAAAAAAAGATCAAAAGGAAACATGTTTTTTAATAAAAAAATAAATCAAACCTTATCTAAGAATAAACGTGTATAGGATGCTAATATAAGATCCTGGTTAAAGGATAGAAAGAACATTTCTATCTTATTTCTATCCTTTGTCTATGAAAATAGAGATACAAAAAAAATGTTATATATATATATATATATATATATATACACAAGCAAATATATGTACATATACGTATATAAGAGGTAATAGAAGAACCTCAATTACTTTAAAACCATTGCTCTATGTTAAACTCATTACTTTGCAAAACCATTGCTCTATGTTAAACTCATTTGTATTAATATCCATGGTTTATTATTGATTTGTGTAAATGTGTGTCTTTGATGGAATAAGTCATATCTCCATCCTTTCAAACAGTCTTCAATTCATCCATCAGCACCGTCTCCCTTCAAATAGTGATGTAATTGGTAACCAACAGGGAAATCAGGGCAGGGATTTAGAGCTCAGCCTATTTTGGTCGACACTGATGAGATTTCCATTTTAACCTAAAAATCACTCACCTGTTCTGCTCTGGTCTTTTAATTTCCTGGGAGCACTGTTTTTTTGAAAAAATGTTTTAATGTGTGCACTTTAATTAATGAATTCCAAGTATGTGTTTCTGAACCAAACACCTGTGGAAAAAAACTGTTGTCCATTTGTCATGTTGTGTCTGTGCAGCTACCGTAACTCAGACTTGGATTTGAGGAGCTTCAAAGGGAACGGTGGGGACGACATTTGTTTTTCTCTTGGCTCATGTTTGAGTAAGAGTTAGCAGAGTGTGGATCCTGCTGAGGCTAATCCTTTCTGTTGACAAGTGAAATATGACACGGCCAACATAATGCTGGCAGCACTGCTGACAGTCCAGTTCCTCAGGCCTGCAGTCTGCCACAGGAGTGCTGGATTAGGAGTGTTGCACAACACTTGTCAGTTATCACCCCCTGGGTGCTGCAGCTGGAGGCCTTTTCCCCACCTGGAGATCAGCTCGTAGCTCTTAAAAGAACCTCCATAACCAAAGTAACTCCATCATCTCTGTCGTACCTGTGAGTGACGACGGCTGTAGTCTCTCAGGTTTGGGTGCGATGGCTCGGCCGAAGAAGTCTTTCTCCGGCTGTGACAATGTAAAACAAAAATTAGTAGGACATTTGTAAATAGTAAAGATTTTTTTGCCATGCTATAATAAGGTCGACACCAGTGAGCGTTCACGCTCCATCAGTCATTAGCCTCATTTCAGAGTTTCTGCATCAGGGACTAGAACCCAGAACCTTCTCTAGTCTCCTGTCGGACCCCCAGAGACTTAAACTAAAAATGTTGTAGAAACCAAAACAAGAAAAAAAAATCATGCTTTTTAAAAAAAAAAAATCTTTGTTGAGTTTGTATACTTGATCCCTGCCCCCCACTTTGGGAACCACTGGACTATCATTTCCATACTGGAAAAGGCAGGTTAGAATATAGTAGTAAACAAATAGGGAATCCTTTAGATTCATCATATACAGTGACAGGCGTTGACTTGACTCACCCTGGTCTCCACCGTGGTCTGTTTGACGATGTTCTCCAGCCTCTGCTGATGGTTACTGGAGGCCTTAGGACCACTGCTCTTCTTCTCTTCCTCTCTCTGCATTGGGAAGACACAGCCAATCAAAAAACCTTTACATTATTAACAAACGCAGCGACCTCATTTTGCGCACATCCTCCACGTCTCTCGGGTGAGGCCTCACCGCTGCAGGGTTTCTCTGCAGCATCATCCGCTCTGCTCTCCTCATCCTCTCCTGCTCCATCTCTCTGCTGATGGTTTGTTTGGCCTGATACGTCAGCTGGCGATGGGGGGGCAGCCCAGGAAACCTCACCACCTCCTCAACACGCCTGCACACACACACACACACACACACACACAGCTACTGTAGAGTGTACACAGTCATATTCAAACATTAGAAAACAGTAATTTACACAAAGTCACTCAAAACAGACTCTGTCTGAACAGAAGAATTTCATATGAGAAACAAATTCACGCCATTTTTGGTAGAAAAGGTTGGTTTAATGAAAACCTGAATCTGACTGTTTTAAATCCTTAATCCTCTTATTGTGGAGCTCCATCCAACACGCACGCACACACACACACACAAGAACAGAAGCAGAATGTTCCGGTAATCTCACACATATTGACTTACTGTGTAGCGCTGGCCAAACTGAGAGCGTGAGTGTGATGATGTCCATGAACTCATTTAAGGTAAAGTTCAATAATCTGAGACTGAGAGACAACGTGATTATTTAAAAATATATAAATAAATATATAATGTTTCACTAATGGTTTTGGGGTAAATTTAAAAAAGGAAGCTCCATAATGTAAGTGTTTTTAATTTGAATGTTTTCTTTGCTAAACTGATGTTTACAATACATTACATTTTTAGTCAACTATAGAACAAGGTCCAAGTAACAGTAACTACATACATACAATTACATATATATTTGTATATATGTACATACATACAGTATATGTATATATTAACTACATCAATTATATTTATTACTATCCAATTTAGTTAACTTTATCTTTGGTCTCTTTGCTGCAGAGCTTTCATCAAGGCAACACCAACAAAACCGAGTGAGACCCTGACACTGAACAGTAAGATTATCTCTTTTTTTTTTTTTTTTTTAAATCTTCATCTGGAATTCCATTTTTTAAATTACTAATATAAACTAAACTGTAGACGGTTGACAAGACTGTATAACAAATATAAATCTTTATAACCAAAACTTTAGACTAGAAGATCTAAATATACGCTAAATAGCTCATGTACTTAGGTGTGTATAAATATGTGAATGTTTATACATATATATTTATTATAATACATGTGTAATATACAAGAACAGGTTTAGATGTAGGATATATTTTCAAAGTTAATGCACAGTACTGTATACACAGTGTTGGTATATGTGTATTTGCATATACTGTATGTAAAACTACACCGTGGATTTAATGTGAGCATTCAACTTTGCATCACTGCACACCAGATGTTACCACTGCGTGCACAGTTGTTGATACTTCGTGTAAATACTCTTTTCCTCTTCACTACTGTTTTATGTACGACTGCTCCTGGTGCATCTGAATTGACCCATGTGTCAAAGTGCATATTTCTTTTCCTGGTGCATCTGAATTGACCCATGTGCCAAAGTGCATATTTCTTTAATTGAATTGAATTACAGTAAGGTGTCATCCACATAATAAGTATTTAACAAAAGTACATCTCATAGACGGACTGTGTTGCAAAATAAAAATAGAAATAAACATTTAATGCCGTTTGCGTGACAAGACAAGTCCTTACCTTGGCTAAAAATAAACAGCAACAAATATTGATAAATCATTTAACTCTGACAACGTCACGCATCAAACCAGAACCACTGGTTCAACATGACCACAAACAAACAGTCACAGAGTCATTCAGAAATTCTCTCCAGAGTTCTAGAGTAGACCTGTGGCCGCTCTTCATCTCTACGTCACGTGTTTAACCCGTGATTCCCAATCTGTTTTCCAGCGGTCAACGAACACATCCTGCAGAAACAGTGCGTCTCCACCGCGTGTCACTCTAGAAGTATTTAAACGCAGGGCCGTGTTTTGCGGTCGTTACCCATCAGAGAGTGTTGTTGTGGTGAGCCAGAGAGGGCAGATAGAGGAACGTGTAGATCAGCAGGAGCAGCAGTAAAGCCGCGAGCAGAGGCAGACCCCAGTTGTTGGTGAACAGCACCGTGTCACAGCGAGCCTGCAGGAAGGAGCCTCCGTGCCTGTTTGACTGCTCCTCCACCCTCATTTAACTTGTATAAACACCGCCGGCCGGGTTTTACACTACAAATAACGTGAGCGTCCTCGAGCGTCCTCAGCAGTCACAACAATGGAGATCCAGAGGTTTTTGTTTTTAAGATAAAAACCACACAGATAATGTTCTCAGATTCCACAGCTCCTCCTACAGTAGATTAATTCTGAAGTCTAACGTTCCTCCGTATCGAGGATCACATCCAGCCACGGTTGAATCATAACTCATCCCAGTCTCATTCCTATCATCTGTTTTTCCATCCACCTGTGCTGTGCCTGCACAGACACACAAACCCGAGGTGTAAAGGAGATTAGCGCCTAAGCCTCCCTGCAGAGAGTCAGTGTGTGGACAGAAGTCGTGACCTTCAGTACCTCAGATACACACACATCTGCTCCCGTCCTCACCGCACGCAGCAGCAGCAGGGGGTGACCATGTCTGTGTTTGTGTGTGTGTGTGTGTGTCTACTCACGGCTCTAGCACGTATGTGTACTGGCCCTCCAGTGTACGGTCCTGCCTGTAGGACAGGTTGTAGGCCAGCATCGTGTTGATCAGCTCGTGCATCTGTTCCTTCTCTCTGTTGCTGAAGAGCTGTGGGTTCACCTGGAACAAACACAGGGACAACTATCAATTTACCCATTCGTTCATCTACAGTTTTACTACTGATCGTGAACGTGTACTTTGGACAGTTCCCCGTTCACAATCGGAGTAGACTAGGGGCACAGAACTACTGCAGAAGAAGGGGTTTGGGGTTAGGGTGCAGAAAGGCAATTCCATTTTAATTTCAACACTTTCTTTGACTGTGTTGTAGTTAAAGTATTTTAATTCTATTTCATTAGAGTTTTGAAGTACGTGGGGGGCACGTGGGGTTCAGGAACGGTCTTATATACGGTATGTTAGAGGGCGCTGCACTTGGGTCGCGAAGGTTTGTGGCTTTTAAAATATGGGTCCCCAGAAAAAAAAGTTTGGGAAACACTGTACTACATAAGAGTGCTGGCTTTCATAATCTAAACTCTTCTAATGTTTAAATAGTCAAAATGCCTCTGGTTCCTGTTTTACATCCTGCAAACTGACAGGTTTCTGCAGCTCCGCCGTCTCAGTAAACCCCCGTTGTTTCATTCATATTAACGACTTCCCCTCAGACGTCGTTTGATGACAGTCGGATCTGAACACCGGTTGTGTCGGCTGCAGCACAGAGCGTCTGCTTTACCGTCTGTTTACACCGTGGGACTCAGCAGGATGCGTCTCAGCTCAGCCAACACTTGGAAAGTATCGGTTTGGAACGAATCAAAAAAACAAATCAAATCCCACGTGTGTACATGACATGTTGGTGTGTTTACATACAGGCCGTAGTTTGGGGCAGATGATGTTGAGCAGAAGCGTCAGAATATCAAGTGTCAGCGTGAGTGTACTGATCCTGCTCCTGATGCATGCTGGGATGTCTGCCAACATGGAGGAAAGAGCATAGCTGCTGGTGAGGAGGCGGGAAGTGGCCTGTGGAGGAAACGACAATGACTCAGAGGGACGAGCTCAGTTACTTTCTAGTTCGGTTCCAGTCAATCTCAGCTAATCCAGTTAATCTGGCCGTACCTCGTGGTGGCTGTGAGGATATTTGATGCGTGGCACATGTGTGTGGGCAAACAGGAAGTGGAATGTGACGGACAGGAAGGGCAGATACTTCATCAGGGAAAAATTCTGATTGTGGAGAATCATTTGGTTCAATCTGTCAGAGAAGGCCAGCCACTCCAGGGCGTCACACACACTGTGCATGTGTGGGTCTCTGACACGCATGGACAGAAAGTTATCGTACAGACCCTGAAGAGGAAGAAGGGGAGGATGAGGAGGAGAAGGGGGGGAGGAAGCACACAGTCATGATATGAGAAAAAGGACATCTGCCATCTGTTACTGTTCTGGCGTCTTTTTTTTCGGTAAAGATGAAATTAAAGGTACAAGTTATTACCTGAGAAACCTTTTCATATTCTCCACTTGATGAAGACAAATGCAGAATGTGCTGAAACCTCTGAGCTCCTCCTCCTGAGCTTGGCGCCTCCTCAAACCCCCCGCCAAAACGTTTCCTTAAAAATGACATGATACAGATATTTAGAAGTAAAATAGATATTTTTCTAGAGCAGGAAAATAATGATTAAAGCAACAATTGTTTTGAAATGATGTTATGTGTCGGCTAAAGTTCAAAGCTTTTTCTAGAGCAGGAAAATAATGATTACAACAATTGTTTTGAAATGATGTCAACTAAAGTTCAGTAACATGCTTTGTAACAACCTGCTAAACCCCACCCCGATATTTTCTGCGAAAGTCGTTATCTTTACAGAAGTTAGGTCTAAAAACAAGCAAAACAAGTGAAAACTGGATACCGTTTAGTACGTGGTAACTGGAAGATCTCCTGCCACAGATGAAACAGGCCTTTGTTCTGGTCCTTCTGACCCACAGATAGACACTGGATGGTCCTGGTGTCCAGCTGTTTGTAGCCGCGGCCGTGAAGAAACTGAAAGTACAAGTACACAAAGGTCAAGGTCTAGACTGCCAGAGAAACTCCCATGGTGCACTGAACGTTCTTTCTCCCTCTGTACATACTGATACACATTTAATGTTCACTTAAAGGTTAAAGGAAGTTAGTGATTTAATAAAAATGTAATGATTGGTTGCATTTTAGACTTTAATATAATGATAAAGCATTCAGAACTGAAACTGTTTTGTCTGTATTTTCAATTTTAAAATAATTTTCATCATGGAGCTTTTTAAAAAAAACCATTTTGGAGCACACCAAGAGCCTGGATTAAAGGTCTGTTGTGGGTAATCAAGTTTTTCAAAGAGGTGCCGCCCACCTGCAGTGTGTTGATACAGGACCTGATGTCATTGTCTGTCTTCTCACACAGTGACATCAGAGCGCCTGTGTCTGTCTTCATCCCCTGGCGAAGTGAGATCTGGAGAGGAAAGGTTAGGATAAAGGGTTTGGATTATGTAGGAAAACTGACTGTGTGAACGGGTATGTGTTTGTTTGTGTTTGTACCTCTGACAGTCTCTGTGCCAGGCGAGAAGGCTGAGTCTGAGGGAAGGCCAGGAGAAAGGCCTGCTGCCTGAGAGGCCTCAGAGCTGGAACATAACTGAAACATCACACCAGTAATAATAACATAAGAAACACTTCAAAAGATACAGGAAGTGAAAAACTTTGTAAGCGCTCCGAAAGGTCATCGCAGCTTCTCTTACAGGTCGTTACAGATGCAAATAATTGGTCGCAGCAGGATGGACTCCTTCTTCTTTTTCTTCTTTGCAGCCTCTGAAGCAGCTTCTGCTCCAGGTCCGTCCTTCCTGTTCAGAGTCGCTAACAGAATGTTGATGGCAGCCTGTTGATAAAAAAACAGCTTTAACTATGAGAAGTTTTTTTTAACATGATCCACCACTAAATCCATGTTTTAATGATTCCCTGAACTTACAGCAGGAGCTCCATCAATCTCATCAATAATGAGACAGTTTGGTCTCTCATTGGCTCCTAACACCGACTTCATCTGCGTTGCCATGTCGATGCGCTTCTGGAAGACCTCAGCACTGCGGTCATCACTGCAATAACACCAGCGGCAGCAGAGGTCAGAAGAAAAGAGTTTTAATTTTGACACTTTTTAAAATATTTTTATGTTTCGGGTTATTCTGGATTTGGTTTTATTGACCTGGCATTGATTTCCACCACATTGTACCCAGCATGCTTTGCAATAATGTGAGCCAGGGTGGTCTTCCCCAGACCAGGAGGACCAGACAGCAACGCCACCTAGTGAAGGAGAAATTCAATTCTTAAGAAAAATGACATTAAATTCTTAGACATAACTAAAGGTAAACAGACATAAATAACGATAACGAGGATAAAACAGAATTTGAACCTTATATTTGGGTCGTTTGTACTGGTCCAGTTCAGCGTCCAGAATCTCCTCCGTCATCTCAATCTTGGTTTTGAAGCGGTTTGGATTCTGGTTGCTCTGGTTTGGTTTGAAAGTGTGTTGATTGGGAGCCTGTCTGTCCGTGCGGGGAGCCCGGATCTTTCTCTCTTTTCCGAACACAACTGTGTCCCACAGTTTCAGCCACTTGAGCAGACAGCGGTTTGTAAACTACAGAGAAGCAGCAACAGTAAAGTTCTGTCAGTGTTTCAATTGTTGTGCATGAAAGACTTGTTTTTTTATTTCTACTTGGGATCCTACAGAACAGAACTTACATCATCACTCAGGAGCTCGGTGTACTGTCGAGGTGAAAATCTGTCGACCCACAGACGAGAGGTTTGACCATCGTCATCTACACCTTTGCTGCTCTCTTCTTCTTCTTCTTCTTCCAGTTCAGGCTCAACAATCACGTTGTTAACACTGCTGTTGTGAGACAAATAATCAAAGACCATAAAAAGAAAATATTCCACGTGTTATGAATGTAGTGAAAATAACTCTGGTGTTACCTGGTCAGCAGCTCCGTGAGCCTCTGAGATTCCTCCACGACCTGCTGATGGCGCTGTGCGATTAAAAAAGAAAAGGACATTTTAACTGTTGGATTCCAGTTATGTTGTTGATGCATGTGATTTGTTTATACTTATCTAGTGCTTCCCTCAGAATCTAACAAATAATTTACATGCTTCTTTGAGCGTGTAGTGCAAAAACTTAAGGCAGGTGTGTACATTTACTAACCCTCCACCTCCCTTTTTCTGCATTGTTTTAGTGGAAGCAATTGCAGAGAATCATTAAACTGCAGAAGGCACAGTTGTCTTTGTCAAAAAACATCTGGGTCGTGGACTACAGTTGTGCCTTGCTCTGCGGCATAGGAAGTTAACAGCTTCCAGTATATATTCCAACCAAATTTTAATGCACACTTTAGAATTCATAATAAAATACCTAAAAATGACCCAGAAACACAGGATTGTTTGTTTGTATTTGTTAAAAATGGCTCTTCTAGTTCTGGTTCTCAAAATCGAAAACTGAACTCAGCTTTGACCTCTGAGGGTCAGTGTGAGGTGGAGGACACTTTAATCAGCAGCATACAGTAAATAACTCACCCTCTCTGCTTCCTGCTCTCTCAGGACATTTATTGGCACTGCCAGCAGACCCAGTGAGCCCTGGAAGTTAGGAGCCATTCTGGAGTCCACTATCTAAAAAACAACAACAACAACAACATGATTTGTTAAAACTGAAAGTTCACACAGATGAGCATCAGACCCGAGGAGGGTGAATATGTCCTGGTTTCACAGTATGTTTCACAATGCCGATGTGTGACAGCTGGGGAGTTGAACCTTTGGCCCGGTGTCTTCCTTCTGTCGCAGGTACACCCGTGTTCCTGATGAGTCTGTAACAGTGATAAAGTCTCCCTGTAATGGAGGTCGCCTGAGCACGTGCAGTGATGGTGGAACCACAGATGGGGCTGGGACAGGTGTTTCTGGGATTGTAGCGAATCCACTGATATCCAAAGAAGCAGACGCCGACCTAGAAAATACACACGTATAGTATATCAACACCTGCAGCTCAATCTTTACACATGAGACTCTCTTGACCTTTTAAACCTACTCAACTAAACATTCCTCACTCCTACCTGAGGGTTTGAGAGGGTTCGTATTGCTCTGGAGACGATGGGGGTGTGATGTCAGTACCCTGAGGTGGGGGTTTGCTCTTTTGAGAGAAAAGGCGCTTGACCACCCCTGTTTCCTGCTTCTGCCTCTTTGCTTTTGGAGCTAGAAGGACAACATCTCCCATTTAGGTCCAAGTTCAGGACAATAACAAAAGTCCACACAGAAAAACACACAACATCAGGAGTGATCCGAGAGAGAACTCACTGGTTGGCTGATCATCCAGGAGGTGTTCTATATCTGCGATGTCATCTCCTGTGCGCTGATTTTGACGTGCCAATGGCTTGGGAGGTTCCACTGACATGAACATCAACATAAAAATCAAAGCTAATCATGATCTAATTTATAATTTAGTAAATACTTTTTACTAAATTACGGGCTCCAATTTATAGTTTGAGACCATATCAAACCTAATGACCTCATAGCATTTTATTATGTTAATAATCGCGTGATCGATCTGTGATCTCTTTTAAAATAAACATTGAATTTGTGACAAATGAAGGCTAGTTGGTTAAAGTGAACTCACCGTCCATCTCAGCCAAAACCTCCAATTCGTCAGCGAACTGTTCCTCAAAGTCATCTTGTTCGTACAACAGCTCCTCGTATTCCTCCATGTCACAAGATGTCGTTCTACTGGCCGCAAAGACCCATACAATTTTTAATGTAAAAAAAATCTATAAATTCCACAAGACCAGCCGATTCTACAGTGACAATTTCCCGGCAATTTTTTTGTTATGGTATTTAACTTCCGGGTTACACAAATCTTCTTCGTCGTCTTCTTTATGTCCTTCATGCAAAGTGAGAAATACCGCCACCCTATTTGTAAAGGAAACCTTTCGGAACGACGCTAATCTAAAGTCTAATTTAACGTTATCTGTATAACTATTAATATATTCAGTTCGACCTGTTTTTCGATTCTACATATACTTCACATTTTTAAAGCAAAATTGTTTGTATGGGTGATAATTGTGGCCAAGAATTGACGTAAGCCTTAAGACGTGGCTAAGTGGAAATTTACTTTTCTACCACTAGATGTCCACATAGACCGATATATGGATTTTATGACTTGTTCGTTATAGTGCAAGAATAAATGTCAACAATAAAGTTGTCAGTACATTGTTATTATTATATTGTAGTTTTATAGCAAACTTCCAATCTGACTTTGCTGTACATTAAAAATAAAATCAACATTCACAAGAGTGTGAAAAATTGTAAACATAAATTATTATTATTTTACATCATGTACATGACAATTAAAAGAAAAACAGCGGGATTTAATTTTTAATATTTAAAATGGCCTAGAAATCACATAGGTACTCTATCTCATTTAAAGAAATTTGACCAAGAAGAAATTAGTCATAAAGAAAGTTACATTTAAAAAATAGATAACATTAATTACCCTAAATGTAACACATTTAATACTAAAACGTTGTTTAAAGATAAGAGACATGATTGACCAAAATAAGCAAAAACTTAAGTGAAAGTAATAAAGTGCCAAAATGAGTCATTGTATTATTATGCATATGATTAAACACACAATTACAAAAAATACTGCTAACTTATTTTCTTATCTAAAATGTCAACCAATATTTTCACCTTGAAATGACATTTCACATATGTAAAAACATTAATATTGGTACTTGTTAACACTGTTATGTTCACTTCATAGGACCTGCTGCACACTTAGGTGTAATCATTAGTTAATCAGCAAAATGTAGCATTATGTAAGACTACAATTTTACAGGCAATTTTACAGGTAAAGGTAAAATGAAGATGTTTTTAGTACTGGAGTGCGTTGGGGACACAAGAAGGGAAACACGCCCAAGGCACTACAAGCTAGCACCGCCCCTGTTCGTAATGTAGTTTGTCAGCTCATTGGAGGTGGACCGGGTAAGCGCTGGTTCAGTGGGTGGAGCCTAAACCTCAGTGGGAGGAGCCTTAGATGAGGGTTTGTGTTTATGGGAGAGTGTTTGCGTTTGTGTGTTTGCAGAAGGACAGGTTCAGGTTAAGTAGCCTGGACAGAGATAAAACATCTTCGTGTGGGGTTACCAGAGTAAAACCAAAGAGTTTGTGACCCAAAAGACATTTTTCCTGAACCAGAACTGGATTTAACTGAAAGAGAGAGATAGGAAGAAAGAAAGAAAAGAAGAGTGTGTAACGACTGTTTGTGCTGACAGACGCTTTAACGGCTGCTCTGCGCCGCAAGATTCGATCCAGTCTGGCGGTAAGAAAAATGCGAATTCTTATTTTAAACACGGTTGTTGTATTGTGTTCGTTTGCGTGTTTGGCTGCAAAGTTAGGTATAAATCATTTAGTGATGTTTCTGTTGTTGTTGGACCACGTGTATGTGTATGGTTTGGTTATTTATGTCTGCCACTTGGCGGAAACTGTGATTGACAAGTGCGACTGGGTGGATGTGGGTGTGGGTATGGGAGTTTCCACTCAGCTGTCCCAGGACAAACACGGCTTTAACAGAGATTGTTTGATTCAGAAATACCAAGTCTTTAATACTAGTGTTGAGGTAAAGTTTAAACTTCTTCGCTGTGACGTCTTTTGTCCTATTTCCACTCGCGTCTTCGTGCGACCTCACCATAGTTACATGTAGACCCCACCCAGCTCTAATCACCGTGGCATAGTTCACAAGACAACAAACGGTCCACTCCACCGTGGCATAGTTCACAAGACAACAAGACAACTAATTGCTGATCCGTTTAGGAGTTTTATTTATATATAGAAACATGTATTATCTATAAAAACACGTGTTGCTGTAACTGTTAATTAATACTAAAATGAAATATTGTTATGGTAAAACCCAATCTAGTTAGCGTTAGGCATTGTTTCCCAAAATGGGGGGCAGGAACACCTAAGAGGCAGGAGCTTTTGCAGATAAGGTCACACTGAATTGTGACTTTATTTTCAGTTTCATCAGAATGTGCCAAAGTTTATTGTTAATCATTTTTAAAATATATATATATATAGGTTGGCTTATAAAATAATCAAATGAGCAATCTGATGTTTTTTCTTTTAGTTGTGTATTATTTCTGCAGACAAAACTTGGCTGTTTGGACTCGTTTTAATTGGGTTTCATTCTCCAGAATTTTTTGTGTGTGCTGTGGATTTCTTGAGAGTCAATAACTTTACATTTAGTCATTTGTGTTTGTTCTTTGTCAACATTAAGTCATTTTTCAGTTGAAAGACAAGATCAGTAAGATCAGGTTTTGTGGCTGACTACTTGAAGTTTCATTTATTCTTCTATCTTCAAGGTTCCTGGAACATTAACACGTTTCCATGGAGCTAATATATGTTTTCTAATTGTCAGTATACACATTCTCACATCATTGTTATTGTCAATCCGTGTTTCAATGCGGGAGCGTTCCGTCTCTAAATATAGATGAGAAATCTTTGGCCAAAGAGTTCAAGTATTGTTTTATCTGTCTGAATTATACAGTTCCAGCGTACATCATGTTTTTTCTAAGTTGTACTTAGTGTTCTTTAGTCTGATGAGGATGTGTCTCTTCAGCAGGGGTGAAGTTTTGACTTGCTCTGTCCATTACTGTACAGACTGCTGGAAACTGGTTGACACTGTAGTGAAGACTTGTACATACAAGTCTTTTTTTAATGAATTCCTGGCTGGTGATTATTGGGTCTTCAGAAAATAACTGATTTTCAGAAACTTATGCTTCTTCTGCTCTGTTCTGCGTGGCTTTCTACTATGTGGTTGTTGACACGTATATACAAAAACAGATAACTGTTTCACATCTACCATCGTGATGAGCTGCTGTTCGCTCACGGCAGAGTTATTTCACAGTCACATACTGACAGGCAGCTCATGTGTCCTAATGAGCTCTGAACTCACGTATCCATTGTGAGGCAAACACAATGTAGAACGGTGCAGAGTTTCCAGCAAACATCATTAACTTTTCATGGCGGTGTCGTTTTTTTCACAGGTGATTCTTCCACCAGTGAAATCAGGGCTTTCCTCAGACAGCTGTTGTAACCTGAGTTTTCTGTGGAGGAGAGGATATATCACAGCAAATTGCCTAAACTGTGTTTTTGTTTTTCTCGGTGGGTGAAAAAGCCAGACTTGTGTGATTTATAACTCTGGCGTTGGGAGGACTCTTGTGTGTGAGCTCCTGGTATAGCTATATTTGTTGGAACATTCAAAATAATGTCGGGATTGTGCGGACATATTCAGGTCCACTCTGAGTGAAAGGGAATTTTGAGGTTCAAGATTCAGTTTAGAGTTAGGATTGAAATTAGACTCAGATTAGAGTTAGGGTAAATATTAAGATTAGACATATATTTGTAATAGTTGAGGTCAGAGTACAGTAAGGGATCTAGGAATGTGCTTTATATATGTATGTGAAACCATTTTATTTTTACTTAAAATGTAGTGTTGCTGGGAGACGTAAACATATCTGATTATGACCCTTGAGAAAGGGGAAATAAAATACTGTATATATAATTTTTTGTAAATTGCTTTTCTTTTTAAACTTCCTTTTGTAAACCGTTTACATTCGACCTCCTGAACCTTAACTTGTGCATTTGCCTGACATGCCATCCCTCATTTCTCTGTGCATGTACATGTGGCTCAGGATCTGGGTCATGAATCTGGAGCGTATT